TCACCTGCAAAACTAAAGTCCTGGGAAAGTTGCAGAGGCCACGCCTTTCCTCAGTCGATCCTTTGTTGACCTCCTACCTTATAGGTTACTTGATATTTATTTCCCTCAGTGACAGAATATAGGCCAACGGCCAAGAGTTGGGATGCAAACTGTCTTCTCTAATTTCAGCCATACTGGAATGCTGGTCTCATCAAACTTCTTATATTAAGTGCACTTCTTTAATCCGAAACCAGTATTTTTCATGATGTATCTGGCGGGTCTGATTGGCCAGTCCACAAATATTTATGTATTTTTATTAATTATTCATGTGCAAGTCAAAGGACAACTTTTAGGAGTTGGTTCTCTCCTTCCACTGTTATGTAGGTCCTAAGAATCAAACTTGTGTCATCAGGCTTGTGAGGCAAGTGCTCTAACCTGTTGATCCATCTCACCAGCCCCTACTCATCATGTTTACTGATATAATCTCCAGTCGACAACTTAGAGGGATTATTCTGAAACTCAATGCAGTTGTCATTCCAATAGATTCTGACGTCTTAATACCAGCCATCTTGTATTAGCTAGCTGACCTGTATAAGAAGCCACCTGAAACCTCCATTCTTTTATGTTTTGTGTATTTGTGGGGGCAACATCTATTCCAGGGTGGTGTCAAATTTAATATATAGTCAAGGATGATTTTGTACATGGGATCCCTTGGCTCTACCTCCTGAGTTTGAACACTGAGATTTGTGTGGTACTAGGGATTAAACCTGGTGCTTTGTATATGCTAAGTAAACACTCTACTGACTACATTTTATGCCTAGCTCTAAATGTCAGGACTTGAAGTAGCAATCACTTTATTACTCGAGCTCATGCATCTCCACTGCTGTGGATTGGCTGGTTGACATGGGGGTCAGATAAGTGGCTGCTAAGTCTAGCTTCATCACTCATATCCCTAAGGCTAGCAGAGAGTTGGATGGCTTGGCTTGGCCTGGCTTGGCTTGGCTTGGCTTGGCTCAGCTAATCCTGCCATGCCTGTGATTTGTATGGCCGTACTCCTTCCTCTGGGGTCAAGCTTTGGATTATCCTAACACACCCTTCTTACCTGACAGTAAAACTGTGAGACCTTAAAGCCCATCTTAACTGCCGCATTTCAAGATTCTACTATGTTGAGGAGCTAACATGAACTGCCTAGGTTGAGTTATGTGGCCAAGTTGGAGGCACTGAGAGCTCAGACAACAAAAGGCACAGTTGGAGGGTGTGATGGCTCATATTCATATAGCTTGACTAGACTAAGACTTACCTACGAAAGGAGCCTCTGGATGTGAGGAATTCTGATTAGTCTAATTCAGGCAAAGTACTCCACTAAATATGGGTGCCACCATCTCCCATTGGGTTGGTGTCCTTGACTACCTAAAAAGGAGTAGGCTAGCTGAGTACTAGCTCACCCTTCCCTGCTTCATGAGTATGATAGGTTCATGTACCTCACACTCTAACCACCATGCTTCTCCACCCATGACGGGCTTCCCTCAAACTGTAACTGTCTCTTAGGTTGCTTGCGTCAGGGTATTTTATCATGGCAATAACAAGTCACAACCAATACAGAGAGAGGAAGGCGACTGGAGTCAGCAGTGGGTCCTTTCAGGCATCACAGCATCCAGGCAATAACTGCCAACCCAAAGCCACCGAGGAGGCAAAGACAGGGCCATGGCTGTGTGTGACAACTGACAATTGTATTAACAGTTTCAAATACAGGCTTTCAGAAATACTATAAAATGTTAAAGAATAAGGAAAAGCCATAGATGCTTGTCTTGATCTACATCTACTGTTCAGGCCTGTTTCCTCTGTCTCTTCTCCTCATCAATAGTTTGTTATTATACCAAGGTTTTCCTTAGGATATTATGGAGCTTTCTTTTGATATTGAAAAGGCTTTGTAAGTATAATGTGGATATCTATGTAAGTAATCCGCCGTATAGATAGACCAAAATCCGCTTCGTCTTCCTCTTCTCCTTCATGGACTGTCGTTTCCTATGTTTTGCCTTTGTAAGTCCGAGTGCAGTGAGTTTATTTATATGTATGTATATACCTTCACTTGTTTCCCTCATGAATGCTGGTAGGCATGCAGCAGCCTGGGGTCTGACCTCAGGTGGCAATGGAGGAGACTTAAATGTCAGTCTCTTCATCTATAGAAATGACTCCTTTGAGCTTGAGCTTCATTTTAACTCAACACATCTTCAAGATGGAGGACTACACCACAGTACTGGGCTAGAGGCATGAAGGTGATGCCAGTTGCTTGCCTCATCTGAGCTCGAGGAATCAGAGTCGTGGACTTTTCACTTGGGAGACCTCTGTGGTCTTCAGTTGAGTCGGCTTCCTTTCCAGTTATCATTGCTGGCTCTTCTAGCCATTGCACCTACGACACCAGTGATTGGTTCTTAGATAGGCCAGGGGCTGAGCATGAAGAGCAAACACTGTTCTTTCCTGTTTCCTACCTGCTCTCGTCTGTTGAGAATAGTTACGTTCAACCAGAAGAACTTGTTTCATCTTCCTGTTGGGCTTCAAGTTCAAGTGTCCTTTCTGCACTGATTTTGCCTTTCTCGTGTATTGTGAGTTGAACTGGATTGCAGTCGCTTTGGCTGTAATAGCAGGACATGTGACCTTGCCTCACAATTTACTGGTCATTGCATGGGGCCGTTTTTCCCCAGAGGCGTTCCTTCCTCTTCATTTTATTATACCCAAGGCTAAATGTCTTCTTTCTATATCTCTTCTAGCCTCTGCTGCTGGCAAACAGTACTTAGTCTGGGCTATAGGTGTGATTTCTACAAACGGAAGCATTGGCATCTCACTGCTGAGTGAAGAAAGAGAGCCACACTCTCTCTCTCTGTCCCCTGTTCCATTCTGTCCTAAGTGATCTACACCCCTCACTCCACCTCTCCCCCACTTCCGCATTCTGTCCTAGCATGCCTTCCCTGTGGCTTCCTTGCTCCGGACAGACTTCTAGTTCTGAGCCTCCTTGTGAGGTTCATTAGTCTTCTTTTGGCCTGTGCTTCAGTTGTTTCTATAAGCTGAGCGGGGCGCCCATCTGGCCAGCAGAAGTATGTGTCAAGTACAGTGTGGTGTCTCTCCTCTGGCAGCCATTGAAAGGTCCCTTTGTTCCCCACCAGCCCCTCCTGGTCCAGGATGTCGCCCACACCCTGTGACGGAAATCCACCTCCCCCCCATCACAGCAGACACTCAGCAGCTTACAGAGCGAGCTCTGAAAGCAGACTGCCACCTTGTGAGTGGGAACCTAACCTTTTCACTGCTCAAAGGAAGTAGTTTATGGGGTTCGAGCTTATCTTTGTGAACTTTTGCTTTGCCACCCTTCCCACGCTTCCCTCCTCAGCTCTTCTGTACGATGTTTTTCAAGTATCTTTTTTTTTTTTTAATAAAGGAATTGGAGTCATATTCTTGAGTATGTATTCACAGTGTGAACTGCTTTGCATCCCTGAACAGTTATGGATCACCAAGCAGGCGGGGCTTGTTTTCGAATAGCAGAGAACACACGTGTTTTTTGTATGCCTCGTCTTAGTAAAGCTGGTGTCCAGTGAGGACTGGACTCCTGGCTCTTCCTTTTCCTCTGCCTGTTTCCAGCCTCTTGGCTCTCCCTTCTCACCCCTCCCTTTGTTCCTGCAGGGCCGGGCTGAGTAATTTGCTCTGAAGCAGTTTGGTGTGGTTTAAGCTGCAGGGCAGGGCTTGTGCAGTGACTGAGGAGCCCCACTGGCTCTGACTCGCTGCTTAGCAATTGTCATCTCTCCCTAGGCCCAGTATTCATCACTAAAGCCTCGGTAACAAGACAGAACCCAGACTCACCAAGACCCTACCCCCCTCCTCCCTAGATGACTATGTTATCCATTTCAGCCAAACAAGCCCAGAACTTTCCTGGAGGTCTGTGCAATGTCTCTGATGTCTAGTTAAGTCTGAGAGGTAGATAGGGAAGCAGAAGGGCAAAAACTAGGGGTTAGGAATGCCAGAGGGGAAAGGGGAGGGGGAGGGCGAGGGTGGAAGGGGAGAAAACAAATGACTGGAAAAATCTTCTGTCAACCGTTAGCCCTTTTTCCTTTCTTTTTATTTCTCTTATTTTTAGCTATGCTTATTTATTATTTAATAAATAGCATATTTACTTGGTTTAGAAACCAAAAAGTATTGCACATTAACATTTTTGGGAGGTTGTTGTTTTGTTCTTTCAAAGCAGGGTTTCTCAGTATAGCTCTGGCTGTCCTAGAACCACTCCAGACCAGGCTGGCCCCAAACTCAGAGATCCACCTGCCTCTGCCTCCTGAGTGCTGGGATTAAAGGTGTGTGCCACCACCGCCCGGCTCATGTTTAAAACTTTTTAGAACACATTTTAAAACCTTCCCTCCCATCTTATTCTCCACCTACTTAGCTTCCATCTTGGTATTCCCAGGAAGCCCGGGACACTAGGTAGTTTTCCTTTACTGTAATAAAACACCACAACCACAACCTACAGAAGAAAAGGTCTACTTGGACATATGATTCCAGAGGGTTAGAGTCATTCCTGGCTTAGAATCATGGCAGCAGGGACAGCTGAGAGCTAAAAGCTTACATCTTGAACTGTAGGCAGGAAGACAGGGAGTGCCCTGTGTGCTTTTGAAACTTCTACTCCCCAGCGGCAGACTTCTTCCCGCAAGGCCACACCCCCTCAGCCCCAAGCAGTTCCACCAACTGGGAATCAAGTAGTCAGACATCCAAGACTATGGGGGACATTCTCATTCAAACCACCAGACCCAAGTAACCCCTCCAGCACTTCTGAGGCTTATCTTGTCCAGGTGAACACAAATGGAAGCTTTTGGGTTTTACCATTCGGTTCCTTATCCACGCATCTCTCCTCTCGAAAACGTATTTCCCTTTATTCTTTTTTAGTCCTTTGTTGGAGCTTTGGTCGAGGAGTGGTCAGTGGTCACATGACTCGCTTATACCTGGTGCCCCAATGCGCTCACCTGTGGCTTGTCCTTTTCCCACAGAGGAGGTGGAGAGTGAGAAATGGTACCTGTCTACAGAGTTTCCTTCAGCCACCATCAAGACAGAGCCAATCACAGAGGAGCAGCCCCCAGGACTTGTCCCTTCTGTCACTCTGACCATCACTGCCATTTCTACACCTTTTGAAAAAGAAGAGTCCCCTCTGGATATGACTGCTGGGGTACATCCAGTTTTCTTCCTTATAGATATAGATATCAAAAGGTCGAGATCTTTGGTCTCCAAGAAGGCATTTATCCTAGGAGATACATGAATCTGAGGGAGAATAGCTATGTATGTATGCGTGCAGTCATGTGTGTATCATGAGTATATCAAGAATATGTTAATTGTTATCAACATGGATTGTGACAAAGTTCAAAGGCATTGTGTAGAAAAAGCAGTGGCAAAGCTGATTTCATCCCCACTCCACCCCGTAATAGCCTCTATGAAATTAAAAACACAGATGAATATCCACAGTAAAAGAAGAAAAGTTGTCCAGGACATTGATATTTTTTTTTTTTTTTATTCCAGAAGGAGAGGAATGGTTGGGGTTAGGGTAGAGGCCACAGTGTTTGGTGCCACGGTGACTATGCATGCTGGTTCTGCATAGACTTTTCCTTTTCTAGTCCCCTGCCGAGACATTCTCACTCAACCCAGAAATATCCCACCTGCTGATTCACACATGCTGTGTTACTGGTGGAGATCATAGGAAGGCAGGGATTTCCTTCTTGCTTAAGCCCGTGGCTGTAGAAAGCAGAATTTAACATCACTCTGGGTCCTGGGAGGCTCTGTCAGGGTCTGTATTGGTTTTCTTGCTGCACAAGATTTTGGCTCACTTGATTTATGTGTATGTGTATACATGTGTACATGTACCACGAAATCACTGAGATCAAAAGAGGGTGGTGGATCCCTGGAACTGGAGTTACAGGTATTGTGAGCTGCTATGTGGGTGCCGGGAACTGAACCCAGGTCTGTGAGAGCAGCAAGTGCTCTTTGCTGCTCAGACACCTCCTCAGGCCTCAGTTGGTTTTGAACTCAGGTGGACTATAACTAACAGTTCAGGACCCTACCCTCTTGCTCCCTTCTCTCCTTTCCCTGATGGGTATTTTATAGTTAGATATCGTCATCAGTCACTGAGGAGTCTGGAGGGATAGCATGCATCCTGAGACACACTGTCTTATTGCAGGACAACATGGGGGCTCGTGATTCTTTGAAATTTTCTCAGAATATTTTGCCATAAGTGTCTTTATTCTAGCAACAAGAATAATGATGAGCCTTGGATTTTAACTGGAGATGGCGGGTCCCAGGTTTGGCTGCAGAGGATGCAGCACATGACCCTAGAGTAAGATACAGTTGACAACTGGCCCCTGTTTCGTAAAGGCTGTTACTAAGTTAAAAGACTCATGTTTGAAATTCCTTTTTCCAGGGGGACTCCTCATGCCAGACGCTCATTCCTAAGATCAAGCTAGAGCCGCATGAAGTGGATCAGTTCTTAAACTTCTCTCCGAAAGAAGGTGAGCTCATCTCCTGCCCTTCCCACACTCCAGGTGCTCCGTCTAAAGACAAGGGAGCACTGTGGAGTGTAGGATGATAAAGGTAACTGGCTGTATGGAATAATTCTGTTCTTAACATTCCAAGACAATATTTTGAAATTTAAGCAGTTACCTAATAAAATGATTTCCTTACATCTCCTTTATTTTCAGCTAAGCATTGGTGTGGTTTGATGCTTACCAAGGATGGGTTTGAGACCCATCTTGACTGCTGAGATGTGTGTGCGGTTGGTGAGACTCCCTTGTCCTTATGCCCTCCTGGTGTGAACCCACCATCACCCCACGCAGATACACAGCAGACCACAATGGCACTGGCTTAAATAAAACCTGAGTTTTAACCCTCTGTCAATGAAGTTGTCATGGGTCTACCCAGCCAGGGTGTGCTCTTAGCTGCTTTATTTGAGTGACGGTTGTGCTGAGCTCTTTTCCATGGTTCTGATGGTGATATACCTCTCTCGGCTTCTTGTCATTCATTTAGAACCTGACCATGCCACTCTTGGAGTTTACTCTTTGTTCATTCTCTACGTCTTTTTTTATTTTTCTTTTTTGCCTTCCGCCTCTGTGTTCTCCTGTGAGACCAAGTTGGAATGCTGGACACAGTCTCTCCATCTCAGGAGCACACAGGACATTCTCGGTATCTTATTTATACAGAACGTGGAGTCCATACTTCTTAATTCTGTGTCTGTTGGTGCTACACCTTCCCTTTATTTACATGTTCAACACATGTTTACATGTACAGTTCATCCCATGATCAACAGTGAAGTCAGTGTACACAATTACAGAGAACGCATGTGGTAGTGTGCAAAGGGGCACACACGGTGTGAGCATGAGAGTGTATCATTTACCTTCGTTCCTTTATGACCAGATTCAGGGCTGGATCTGAGACCATTGACTCAGGGTTAGCCCTTTACTATCTGTAAAGGACTTAAAAGGTGATATTATCCACCTGCGTCTGTCTTGAGCCTTTGCTTCTTGGCAGTGAGCAGTCCACATTCATATTTTTGAGCCTTAACGTCTGCTTCCAAGCAATTTCTTTCATCTTTACGGCTGCTTACCACCAACAAATGTATCTTGTTCTTTTTAGTATGTTGTGATGTGGTTCAGAAAGTGTCCCAGCCCCAACAATAGAACCCCATAGTGGCGTCAGGATCTCGGGTCACCGGAGGAGAAGTGGCAATCCTTCCTCATTATCCTGGATAGAGACAGATAAAGACATTGAATATCCCATGTACATCAGAGTTTCTGGGCAGAGTAGCCTGCTGTCCCCGGCTCCTTCTGCAGCTTAAGAACAGCATTTCAAATGATGTTTAGAAATCTGATCCTGAGGCACCTGTGGCCAGAAGGGCTGGCTTTTCCTGTCTGCTTCTCTCTTGTGGGCTACCCGCTGCTTAGAAAGGAGAAAAGCTTAGCGTAGCCTTTGCCAGACCTGGAGGCAGAGAAACTTTTGGTGTCCTTGGGAGTTCAGCTGGACTTTCAAGTAGGGAAATCTGATTCCTGAGGTTTTTTCTTTTCTTTTTCTGGATTTTGGTTTTAACCTACAGTGTCATATACTCACAGCATAGGGGAAACCTGGGCTAATAATAAGACATACCAACTTCCTAGCCAAGCACATGATGTGTTAAAGGGGCATCCTCAGCCTACCCCTGAGCTACTCAGGTTTGTAAAGCATGCGATTGTCCTGTGGATCCAGAAATGCTGTGTGAAGCTGGGACGGCGGACTCTCAAACTTAGTCTCCCTCAGCAGCAGTGGCTGGCAGAACAGAAAAATCTGTCCTGAAAAAAGAAAGAGGGAACCCACAGGGTCTTTGTGCAGGTGGACCCCAGGTAATGATCTCCCTTTAGAAGCTCATTCCAACTGGAGGTGGTAGCTGGATGCCTATTGGGTGCCCTCAGCCCCAGTCATGGACCATGAAGAAAGGCTTTAGGGGAGAAAGCATTTTGTACCTCCTTTCTTTTTCCTGTGACTACTTATCTATCTAATGGTGGATGTAGGGTTTCTGAATGAAGAATGCCTGGCCTCCTGCCTGCAGGCCCCAACAGCCACATTCCTCCAGAAACAAAGGGGGCTTTTCTCCAAGAATTCCACGAGAGCCCTCAGGTTGGCAGTTTCCTAAAAGACTGTTAAAAAAAAAAAAAACAAAACTGCACTGTACTAACACGATTTGCATATCAACCTGTATAAACTATCTGAAAAGAATACAGAGGGACATTGGGTGTAGCTCAGTTGATAAGAGTGTTTGCACAGCATGCAAGAAGCCCTCCATCCCACTCTTAGTACCATGTTAAACCCGGCATGGTGGGACCCACGTTCAATCTCAGCATCACAGAGGTTGGGACAAGAGAACTACAAGTTCGAGGCCATCCTCAGCTATCCAGACTTCAAAGCCAGACTTGGATACATGAGAACCTGTCTCAAAATACGTTGCAAAAGTAGAACGATAAAGAAACACAGTAAAGTCTTGTCAATAGCATGTCAGAAGTCCCCAGAATCCCAGGCCACCCCTTGGGTCATTCTTATGTTAGTGTTGCATGCGCATGACTGCCCAGGGTAGTTTTGTGCAGGGACTAGTAAGTGTAACTCTATGCTCACCTTCTGTCTCCCTTTCCATACGACAAGAGGACTACTGGGTACACTGTTCTGCACCTGGTTCTCCTCCCCTCACTACTTCCAGTCCTAAAACTTTCTAGGTCAGCCCAGGAAGAGTTCCTACTCTCTGCACCTACCCCAAAGCTCCCAGTGTGGAGACACATGTTGTGTGTTTAACTTGCCCCTGAGTCTTGAGCTACTCTTCTGTGGTGGCTGACATGAGCTCTCTTTGTCCGCAGCCTCCGTGGATCAGCTGCACTTACCACCGACACCGCCCAGTAGTCACAGCAGTGACTCTGAGGGCAGCTTGAGCCCCAACCCACGCCTGCATCCCTTCAGCCTGTCTCAGGCCCACAGCCCTGCCAGAGCCATGCCCCGGGGCCCCTCTGCCTTGTCCACATCTCCTCTCCTCACAGCTCCACATGTAAGTATCCGGGTGGCCCTTCTGGGAGTGGGCAGGGATCCTCTCAGTCTAATTTTTCATCATTGTAATGAAATTTTTGTTCAATGGTTAGAAGTCTCTGTTCTTGCTATGTGGCCGTAACAAAATACCCAAGACTTGAGTAAGTTAGGAAGGAAAGATGTTTGTTTTGGTGCATGGTCCTGGAGGTGGTGAAGTTCTAGAGCATGGTACCTGCGTCTACTTAGCTTCTGGAGAGGATGCTCCGTGCATGGCAGACACAGAAGGAAGAAGCAGGTAGTGGGAAGGACACATGCAAAGGAGGCAGGGAGGCTGTGTAGCAGCACACCCCCATGGTAACTAATCCTGGTCCTGTGAGACCCAACTCACTCCTGCAAAAGGGTATTGATTGTATTCTTCACACCCACACTTCCTTATGGAGACCAGACCTCCATGTGGGGACAGACTGGATTCAAGCCATAGGACCAAAGCAGTATTGTAGGAACCCTAAAGAATATGTTTAGGAAGACCCGCCTACAAATCTCAGGAACTCTCTTCAAATGCAGATCCAGTTCTTATCTCTGTGTTTATTTTCCAGGGCTGGAAGCCTCAGGCATACATTTCAGTTCTTTTCCCCCTCAAAGTTATACCACAAACATTTGCCATTAATGTAGAAGATCCTTACTTAATGGGCTCTAGGAAATGCCTTTCATCTTTTAGATAAGCATTCTTGGGTGAAATTTGAAAAGAAAGCCTCTCTGAGATTAAGTAAGGGCTTTGATGTCAAAAGCTCAAAAACATAGTTTAATCTTTGTGTTTCAGGGGTTGGGGGGTGGGGAATCTCAACCCAAGATACTATGACAAAATCCCAGGTCGTCGTTCGTCCCACAGACAGGTAAAAAGGAGGGGTAGAGAATTCACATTTGATTGTTCTAAAGAGGGAATCTGATGTCTATGAAGTCTTCAGAGTTACAAGCAGGTTTTTTAAAACTATACTATCACGAATAACAAATTTTAAACACAGTATTTTATTCTTTGAGAAGTTCATGCGTGCAATGTATATGACTAGCAAATATAAATGAAATAGTTTAAGAAGAAATAGGACCATCTATCAGCATAATTTAGATAGTTTTGAGAAGATTCACTTGCCCCCATATGTTCTAGATCTTAACGACATGTCGCCGTCACTGAGAACGAAGGCCTTCACTTGCCATTCCTGCCTTCCCTATTTGAACCTGGATTTCACTGTGTAGATTCATGTTCTGTGTCTGCATCTCCACCCCATGTTCCTGTTAGCATCTCCCTGATGTCTATAGGCCCCTGGAGCCCCAGTACCTCTGCTTGTATTAAGCAGTTTCCCGTTTGCTGTCTCAGCCTCCTGAGCTCACCTGCTCTGGGCAGGGACGTCTCCTGTTACTCATCTGAGTACAGCAGTGACCTTTGCTCGGATTGTCTGCCTCGTCCTTGTTGATCGTCACGTCTCCAGAAAGCAGCATCCGAGTCTCATCTCCTCCTCTATGCCTCCTCTCACCCCATAAACTCACAAGGGCTCTCTTTCTCTAAAAGTTGAAGGCTTCTCCAGTCAACATCTCAGCTCAGCCTTGAACTGCCCTCACGGTCTCATGGCTAAAACTCCAGTCCTACTGTCTTGATGCTAGGCCACTCCAGAGATGGGTTTTGTTTTCAGTCCTCTGTGGCAGGGAGCATGGAGATTACACACTAGTGAGTCAGCGTGTGTGACTAATATAAACACGTCACTGTGTTCTGAGCTAAAGGCAACAGACTGTGGTTCTCATCTTTATTGCTGACGGGCAGCATAGGACTCTCGGAAGCCTGAACTCCCATGGAAAATGCCTGCTGGTGTGTTACAGCTAAGGGACTTCAAGCCCCTTGGTTCTAAGTGGAGGGGAAGAGAAACTGTGGAGAAAGCTGATCATAAAATCAGCCCTTCAGTAGGAGAACAATACACGTCTTGAATAAGCTGAACTCTCAGGGAATTTTCCATTACCCCTAAGCCTCCAGGGATACTCAGTGTGAACTCTATACGGTTACTCTGTGTGTGCTAGATAGTGGGGTGTTCCCTGGGAGAAACTGGATGGAGGCCTCTGTAGTTTTCCCTTTGATTGAGAATTATGGGATTTAAAACACCCATATGGGATACTGGGGAAGTGGTTCAGTGGGTCAGAATGTTTGCCCTGCAAGCATGAAGACTTGCGTTTGGGGCTTGTAGATCCCGAGAGCTACTGGTTAGCCAACCTAGGTGAAGAAAACAAGCTTCTTGTTTAGTGGGAGATCCGACCTCACTAAAAAAGCAGGGAGGAGTAGAAGATGCCTCCATATATGTGCACGGGCACATACACATGTATTCTACATGCATGCACCACACATATATACATGAATATATACGTACATATGTAGATATGCATATGAATACATACACACATGAATACATATATACATGAATACACACATATGTACATACATACACGCATGAATATGTACATGCCACACACACATAAATAAGTAAATAAAAAGATAAACACCCACACGGGCACACCTTCTCTATCTTTGCTTTTACTTCAGAGCACCTATGTCTGACCCAAAGCCTCAGAGGCTCCCTTTCTCTGCACCGTGACTCTCCATGCTCCGAGTCGAGGTCACTTTTCAGTACCTCCTCTCTGACCTTTCTGTGCTCCCTGGTCTGCCCAGAAGCTGCAGGGATCGGGCCCACTGGTCCTGACAGAGGAAGAGAAGAGGACCTTGATTGCCGAGGGCTATCCCATTCCTACCAAGCTGCCCCTGACAAAATCTGAGGAGAAGGCCCTGAAGAAAATCCGGAGAAAGATCAAAAATAAGGTGAGCTGTTCCACCCTAGGCATTTCTGCGGCAGACAGGAGAACTGAGCCCTCAAGCCCCCATCCCCGAGGCCCATAGCGGGACTTCCTGTAGTCAGGTGAGGAGCGTAGACAGCGTCTGCCCACCATGCATGTGAACTCACACCAGTATGTAGACTCCTTGTTGCATGATAGCCTGTTCAGAGGCAGGAGGAGATACAAGGATCTCTCTTTATCCTTCTTTTTAAAAATCTCAGCCTTTCGATTTTTCTGATGTATATAATATTTTCTTCTCATTACTATATGTAATTTATAAGCAAATACAGTTTTATGTGGTGTTACTTTAAAGTTTTTTTTTTTTTTTTTTTTTTTTTTTTTTGCTAGTGGTCTGTGATAAAAATGAAGTTCAGTAGCCACCTAGTCTCTGTTGACTTCAGAGCTGTGACAAAGGGAACAGGAGAGGAAGGCAGAGAGAGCAGAAGAGAAAGAACCAGTCACACCTCCTCACCCTCATGCAGAGCCAGCAGACAGTTTATACATACCCAAGCCCAGCTGGCTGATTTTTATATATAATTGAGCCAGCTGAAGTCCAGGGAGCTGACATCATTTTTCTGAACTATTTCAACCATCAGTCTGTGACCCAGGAGTTTGTCGGCGGATTGGGAGGATCTGTCTGGGCCAGAAACAGAGTTGGTGATAAGTTGGGGGGAGTCTACACTTTAAACAAAGCAAGGCTGGCCACATAAGTGAGGCCGGCTTGGCTGACCCCTGTGCAGATGGCCTCCCACGTTCCTTCCATTCATTCTCGGTTTACTTTCAAAAATAGAAATTCATCTCCTTATTTCACAGATTTCTGCCCAAGAAAGCAGGAGAAAGAAGAAAGAATACATGGACAGCCTGGAGAAAAAGTAAGCCTGCTCGTTGGCTGGTTGTTGTTTATTAGGTCACATTCATCAAGCCGGGTGAGAGGGGCTCAGTTTGGCCCCTCCCAGTGCATCGGCAGTGTTTGTCTGCCCCCTAGTGGTCATATTGAAGGAACTGCTTATAACTATGTTGAATCCCAGCTTTCTGACCGCAGTCTTGAGATCTTGAGTGCTTCCAGGCTTCTTGAGCAAGCGTTAGACTTTGACTTTCTTGCAACTCCTCAGAAGAGATGCCCAGCTTCAGCCTACATGAGCAGTGCTGTTTAACCAGTTCCCACTGACCTCAAATGATACAAATAAGACTCTGGTATTTCCTGTACTCTGTAATGCATGCTGTGGGCAGACAGAATTTTTGCAAACACACGTGAAGGCAACCTTTGTTCTTTTGAAAGCCCTGGAATGTCCTGAGGGCTCAGAGAGCCGTTTGAATTGAGGACCAACTCTACCAGCCTTAGAAAGTAGTTCTCCAGATAGGAAGGAGGCCCTGGAAAACCCACCCATGAGTCTTTCTCATTTGCACATGTGAGGTAAAGCACTGGCTGGCTTCTAACTAGTTCTAGAAGCTTCTACGGAAAGTTGTCCGTCTATGAGCTGGTTTGGGCATAGGCAATGTAGCATTAAGGACTCCTGTTTTCTTGTGTTTGTTTCATTGTGTCCTAAAGATATCCACAATCAAAGTTATTTCTATGGATCTCTCTTCTCTGTCTCTCTGGGCGTGTGCAATTCAGCACATCACTGCCATGGGTTCTGGTCCTGCCTGCCTTTTAACCAAGCTCCAAGCTTTGTATCAGATGTGGCCAGTAGTACAGCTCCCTGGTGACTGTACAGCCTGTGGTCTAGTGAGGAATGAGTGTAGCAGGAAGAGATGGGGAACCTGATGGAGGTGCCTGATGGGGTTTATGTGTGTCCCGCCTGAGCTACTTTCTGAAGGGAGCCCCGGCCTGCCGTGTTGTCCCTGTGGACCCTCACTGTCTCTCTATTCAAGCTGCCTCAGTTCTTCCTCACTGGCCACCCCACTTCTTTCTCTGTGACGCCAAAAGCCCCTGACTGAGCGGTTGCCCTGTGGAGAGTAGCTGAGTGTCTTTCTTTCTGCTCTCTCCACAGAGTAGAGTCTTGTTCAACTGAGAACTTGGAGCTTCGGAAGAAGGTGGAGGTGCTGGAGAACACCAATAGGTGAGTGTGGCCAGAGGAAGGGACCATAGTCCAATGGCAGGGTCATAGTCCAATGGCAGGGTCATAGTCCAATGGCAGGGTCATAGCCCAATGGCAGGGGTCATAGCCCAATGGCAGGGGTCATAGCCCAATGGCAGGGGTCATAGCCCAATGGCAGGGGTCATAGTCCAATGGCAGGGGTCATAGTCCAATGG